TCCCGCCTTAGATCTGAAAGCCAGCTGGGTGACTTTGGGCCAATCACCAGGAGACAGGGAGTTCTAGTCCCGCCTTAGGCACAAAAGTCACCCGGATGAATTCAGATCAGTCCTTCTCTCTCTCTCTCTCTCTCTCTCAGCCCAACCCACCTTCCAGGGATGTTGTTGTGGACCAGACAGGAAGAAGGAAAGGTATATCACATATGTTTGCCACCTTGAATTATTTAATAATCAATAACAATAAAGGCGGGATGCCAACGAATAAATACATCTAAATTTACAAAAGCCAGCCCGGGCTCTTTCTTCTCCAAAACCAGCGGCTGAGAATGCTAGCATACAGCCAATAATATACCAGGGGTGAGAAAAAAGATTCGAGGATTTAATGAGCCCCAACTGAGCTAACTCTTGCTAACCGAAGTACAAACCCGTTTGCATTAAGTTATTTCAAAGTGTTTATCTCCAGCCGGTAAATGAGATGGAAAATGTGAACTTGAATGTCCCTTTTTTTCTTTTTTTTTTGCAGAATTACCACCGAAGTACTGCAATTTATCGATCAGCAAGCTCTTGTGGTTTCCCCCTGGTTTTTCGGGGGGTTTTTTTCGGGGGTGGGGGGTAGATATTTCTGGCCACTGATCGTCTTAAGGAATGAGTTACTTTTCCAGCGTTCCTGTCCCCCAAATCCCCCACCCCAGTTTACTCCTTTTAATGGTCTCCAGCTCAACCGTTTTGGCCCCAGTTCCTTTGCTTCGTGTTCCTCCAGCGAGTTCCTTCCTTTGATTTTATTTTTCCTCAATCAAGAATGGATTGATTCCCTTGCAGCCATGGGACCGCGGGGTATATGGGTGGCTGCCTTGTTTTTTTTAAACCGAAGATGGTGGGGGGGAGAACTCAGAAATTATTAAACCGATCTAGCATCGGAGACCATGAAAACTTGGGGGAGGGGGTGGACACACCTGCTTAACCTTTGAAGCGCCAAAGGGCAGCTGTGCGGAAGCAAGAAAAGAGCCTACTTCTAAGAAACACCCCCCCCCCCAAAAAAATGCACCTGCCGGGCATCACAATATTCACATCCAACCTTGGGCCGCATTCGCACTGAGACACAGGTCCTGCAGTGCACCGTCAGGTTGCCAACTTCCTGCAGGTGCTTTCCGGCTGTTCAAAAAGTCCAAGTCCC